TTCTCAGTTCCCTTTTTAAGAAAGTCTTTCAGATGAGAGAAATCAGAAAAAGAAATCCTCCCCCTTTAAACTTTCTATTTATACACCTTGTATGGGATGAGGCGGTGCATGCACCAGCCTCATCCTCCCCCACTCCCCATGAAACAATATTATATAAAAAAAATTCTTATTAGACCAAAACCTACTTAATCACAAGGAGGAGAAGAAATCATTTACCAAAGATCCCTCGGCTCTCAACAAATGCCAGATTTTCCCCTGAAACTTTCCATTGCTAAATATTTTCAAAACCCGACCAACTAAGATTCAAAACCGAACATTACACAAGCATATGTATTTATTAAATTATGTGACCAATGAAGCTATTTTAGCAAGATTGTAATAGCAAAAAGAATGTCGGTGAAGGATTTTAGTGATTTCCAAGATCATAGCAAACAATTGAAAATATCTAGCCTTGTTTTTTTGGTATAAATTATTGATTTGTATAGTATAAATTTGGGGAGAGTGGTTAAAGTAAACCAAATCATAATACCCAAAAAACAAAGGTTTCTAGAAGTTATTTTAATTAAAGGGTCTTACTTGGAAGACTTCCAAGTTGGAGGAAGAAAGTGTTTGCTATATATGTTGATGTGAGTGACGATTTGGAGAGTTTGGTTCTTATTGAAATACATCTAGGAGGTATGTGTTTTCTTTAATGACTAGTGATTGCTTAGATCTTTGTAGAACCATGAAACATGCAAGATTTTATTTTACCACATTTGTAACATCCCCCGTCCCCGTGGTCCGGAACGGGCGGTGTCACTAACGGGACTTAGTTCAAAGACACAAACATTTTAGAGCTACTAATAAACTCCAAACGTAGATTAACTTCTAAAACATGCTTTACAATCCAAAATATTACATTCTAACAACTATTTATAAGCTTAGAATATTATACATCTACCATCGAGTTTACAAACTCCAAAAAAAATCCAACGCTCGATCTCAAGTCCCGTCCCTTATCAAAATCACTTGGAACCTGCCGTGTCAAGAAACAAGAACACGGCTGAGCACAGGGCTCAGTGAACAGATTGTATATAAACTTGAAATACTAATACGTAACATCAATAATAAAGCGGAAGACTTAAAAATCAATGAAACTGAATTCATAGAAAATCAAGACGTTTCACAGTTCTCATTTCAAAACATCATTTAAACACAATCCGTCAATTCCTGTAGTGTTCATGGGGTGGCCAAACCACACGAACTATCGGGCCGGCGTGCGGGCACACACCCCGAGTCCCCCGTGAATTTAACCATGGTCACATGGTGGGTAATCCTAGGATCGATCCATCCGCCCTGGAGCCAATAAAATCGGCCTAGTCCACAAGGTGGGTTCACGTAAGCCACTATTGGGCCTAACCTTGTGGACCGAGTTCACCTGCAGGACGCCATGACTACAAAGCCGCCATAGAAGGCATCCCAAATTAATGCGAATGTCATTGGTTTTTTACGAGTATGGCTGCGAACTTATACTAGGCTAATTATCTAAATAATAGAGAAAGATGTTGGGAATTATGATGAAATATGTTGGCTACTAAATGAGATATGTTGGAGATTATGGTAATGCTACTGCTAAGTTGGATATTCTAAAGTTAAAAGCTTGTTTGAAGTATTATGGGGTTGGTGTATGCCCATGAAATAAGAAGAAAGCATTGTTGGATAAAGTGACAAGAAGAGTGGCACTTTATAACTTTTGGGGGTAGCTCAACTAAGTCAAGCCTTGGGTTTGCTTCCCATTGGTCACACCAATTCGTGTTTCATCTGGGCTACTGGAGGTTGGCTTGACTGTTAACTTCAAGGCCCTATGGGATTAGTCGAGGGGGTTGAGTTCCGATGAGAAGGGAAGTTATGGTGAGAAGTGTAAGAAGAGATCTCCACCCTTGGATCAATCCTAATTGAATCTCAACACTAATGAGGTGCACCGTAATGCACCAGATTAATTCCCTTTTGTAGCGCAATTCATGGGTGGGCATGAGATTAAAAGTGATCAAGGGTTCAGATCTCTTCTTACGCTTCTCACCATAACTTCCCTTCGCACACGACCCTTCGCCTTAGTCAAGGTGCACGCAAGCTAGCCCAGACACCCAAGGGTAGTAAAAGAGTGCCATTTCACACTTCTCAATTGACTGGGTCATGTATTTGGTACTTGTTGTATGAACAAAATGGGAAAAATAAGGGGCTTAAGCAAAGAAAATGAGAAGAATTCTGACACTTGTGAGGCATGGACTGATCAACCATGCCTAGAGTCCAGGAAGACACAAATCTTAAAAGAATGAAGCATTGTTCAAGTATCAACATAATTGTTGATTTTAGTTGAAAGAGAACAAAAAATGGAAGAAGGCTGAAATTTGGGAACAAGTAGTTTTTTAGAGAGACTAGAATTGTCTTCTTACCAACAAGGTATTTTGTGGTGTTTAGGCTTGGTATTTATTTAAGAACATGGAGTTTGATAATTTGTTTAAGCTAGCTGGGGCATGTTTGTGTAAATAATTTGTTCTTCTGTGCATAAGCTACCAAGTGTTGAAACTTTTTGGTTGGCACTTTGAGACGATGGTGTTTCAAATTTCTAATATGTCCAGTGCCATATAGAAACATGGTATATATATATATATATATATATATATCTCAAGAGGTGTTACAATCCTGACTTTGGGATTGACTAGTTGTTTCTTGTATTCTTGACTTTTTCTTTCATACATTACAGATGTTCTAATTCTAGGGAACTTAACCTCGATACAGTAAGAGCCAAACAAATCTGTATTAGAATGTTATTTGGGTAGTGGTTGATAGTAAATGGGTAGTAGTTGCTGTAGTTAGGTTTATTTGTTTGTAATTGGAGATTTAAGATCTTTTTTCTGTTTGGGTAATATAATGTGTGCATAGGACTTCTTATTTATAAGATTAAGGGTAATTTAGTTGTTAAAAGTTTTCTGCTCTCCTAGAGTTAGTAGGGCTTTCTTTATCTATATAAAGAGATGTAATCCCCAAGAGTAATTATTGAATGATAGAAAATATTTTGGGTGAATGAGGGTTACCTTCACATCATCAATTGTGTGATGCCATCAAACCATGAAGTGACCTGCCATAGGTTATCTCAGGTTTGATGCTCAAAAGATTCTAGGCATTCAAGTTGTGAAGCTTATAACCCCAATTGTGTTTGTGTTTTCTTTAGAAATTTGATCTCTAGTTATATTTTATCATAGCATAATTTTTCCTTTTGCTTCTTAGTTGATGAGAGTTCGTTGAGCCACTTGTTTAACCAGGTGAATTGGGGGAAAACATGCTACAATCTAGATAAAAACAAAAATAAAGAAAACATATCGACTTTCACCAGCTCAATATTACTTCCTTTTTTTGGCAAACAAGTGATTTTCAATAACAACCCAATTTTATTTTATTTTATTTTGATTAACCTGAATATCCAACCTGCTATGTGAACCAACTAATTCCAGGGCGACCACCTGCTTTGCAGATAGCCCGGAGTCACCGCATTTGAACCTCCATGGCCACAAGGGGATTTTTATTCCTCCTTGGATTTGAACCTGGGACCTCCTGGTACTTTTGACCTTTGGAGCCAAGCTCAAACCAATCAGGCACCACCCTTGTGGTTAACCCAATTTTTTTTTTAAAATATATAATATTTATATACGGCAAATAGTCACGCACACTCCTTACCTTTGGTGAGATTTGAACCCTCACCTCCTGGGAGGTTGGGCTCTACCAGTAACCCGGTTACCGTTGGGTGAATTACCCTTTAATACAACCCAACAACTTGTGGGTCACTAAAATACATTGGATGCATAGATTCTTGATCAATTAGCTATTCCATTTGATCCTGAATCTATGTACAAGGACTTGCTATCCTTTATATGTTTCTTATACCAAACTAACTCCCACAATTCTGTAAGTCTCATGGATGTTCAAGATACACATGCATCTGCTGAAAGTGTTACCTAATTTACATCCCACCGGTCGAGACGATCTGCCCAAAGCGAAGCTTATCAAGACCATTGGAGAAGGAGGTGAACAGTATCTTTGCTTGCATCACTAACCACACGAACTTTGGACTTTTTGTCGAAAGAAGCTGCACCAAATGGAGTACTCCATTTGCTGAAGAAGATATTGCTGATTGCCTCATGTGTACTGTCTGAGCTACTGTCAAGGTGTAATCACTGTTGTGGATCCATACTACGATGTAGTGAGTCTGAATATTTTATCTTCCTTGGAAGACTCGAAGTGCTTCTATCAATTCCTCTATGAGCCTCATCTCTTGTAATGATAAAATTCTTCTGAATCTTGTGTGCCATCTTCCTATCCATTTGACTGAAGTCTATGATCAGCTTTGTCGTTGTCATCCAAGCCCTAATGGAAAAAGAGTATAAGCCAAAGCATCACAATTGTCATCTCCAACCCTAGTTAATGTCACAAACATTACCTGGCCACTGTCACAAACATCACCAAGCCATCCCCTTATGATTTTTTTGCTTATTTTAATTTTTGCCTATAAACATGGATCAATTCTATATTCGTCATGCAACAAAACTTATTTGCTTAAAAGACCCAAACTGCTTCCTTTTTTATAACCCTAAGCCCGCTTTAAAAGTTCTAGCTCCAACTTGGCATTTACATCAGATCAGCCCTTGTATTCATGTTAGTAAAAAGTATGTATGGACGAAAGAAATATGAAAATTTGTGGTAGAGAAAGGGAGAGAAAATAGGTTAAAATATGAAGTTTGATATTTTTGTTCCACTACTTCTGTCAAAAGATGGCGAGACATCCGTATTGAGATAACACTTTAGTTGAATGGTAAAATTGATGGATGACGTTTGAATATAAATTACTGCTACCATTTCTTTGAATACAGAAGGGCTTTTTTATCTTGCAAGAGAAGAAAAACAACTATTTTGCTACTGCCGAACTGTAAAGTCATAACTTGACTGACATCTTACCATTCCTGCAGTCGAGAAGTGATTGTGACTTCATCTGTTTTGGCATGCGAGATCGTAAAGGTAGTATCTGTTCTCGTTACATCTCATATGTATTCCTATATGTTCTAATCTATATGGTTATATACACCCGTAATAGGTTATTTGTGCACTAGCTCTCATGGCAAAAGATGGTAGTCTGAATAAAGCATTGAAGGAATGGACTCTGATTGGCTCGTTAAGTGCATCAGGATTACCTGCAGCTATCTATGCACTACAAAATAGCTTGTTGCAGATTTCATACAGGAATCTTGATTCCCTCACATTTTCAATGTTGAACCAGACAAAGTTAATTTTTACAGCATTGTTCACATACATTATTTTAAGGTATGTTCTTGAGGTAAATCTTCTTTGTTTAGTGATATATCGGCTGACGTCTAAGTATTGATCAATTGCAAATATAATATGCATATATATATATATATATATATATATATATATTTATATAGAGGTGGTTTATTTTACAAACCACCCAATTCTTGCAAACTTTGCAAACCAATCCTATCCACGCGATTATATCATCTATGGCCATAATTCAATGGATGGAAAATCGTGATTAAGCCTCCTATTTCACAGCTATTAAAAAATTAAGGGTAATTAAGTGCAAAAACGGAATAAGTAGAAAAATCAAGTTTGAATAAACACAATCCCGGAAATATAGAGCGGTGAAATTCACTCGCCATTATTGGCAACTTGCAAATCAGTTTCCTTAAAAGATCTTCTGAAAAAATTGAGAATGAAATCAATGAAACCAAATTCATTTTTGATTTTGCTTTAAGTTACTGTTTTGGTTTCAGGTGCACAATGTTTAGAACAATGATTCAAGTAGTTTAACCCATCTATAAAACAGTAATGTAAATTCATTAATGAAAAGTAAATTCATCTATGAAACCCCAACTATAAACTTAATATATGCAACTGAATCTGGTTCATTAGAAACAATAACTTAAACCAAATTCATTAATGAAAAGCAAATTCATCAATGAGACCCCAGTTATAAACTTCACAATCATACGGTTGGAAAATACCATTTGCAAAATATTCATTAACAAAATCGATGGGATCCATATAAAACAATGCAAGTTATGAATCGATGAAAAAAACCATAAAATCTTCAAACCCAGTTCATTGAGGCAATGAAAGAGAGAACAATGTTTTGAATATTCAACAAAATTGGTTAAGTATAATTTCTAAAAAGAAAAAATCCAATCCCAAAAAAACCGCCTACCAATCTGCACATTTTAGGATAAAAACTGAAAAAAAAACAAAGTTGTTTGAGACAATAATACCCTTAATGATAAAAAAAGAAAAGAAAAAAGGTAGTTACAAGATGGACGCCTAAGATGTGGTTTGCAAAGTTTTTAAGAATTGTGTGGTTTGTAAATGAACCGTGGACCTATATATGTATGTATGTACGTATGCATGTATGCATATAATATATGTATGTATATATCTTGTTTTGGTTTTGGGGTTAATTTTACATAAGAAAATCGAGAGATTAATGAGGTTGTTTGTCTTAGTGTAAGAGTGGGATGGATGTACGAATGAAAAGCTTTAGGAATTATGATTGAAAAGTTTATAGCATGCCAATGTAGGTGAAGTATTGGTCCAAGAAAATAACTTGTACGAGTGAACATTGAAGATATATGAGAGGTGGGTTAAAAATGAAGATATATGGGAGGTTGGGTAACATAGGTAGAGAAGTTGAGACAACGTTACTTGAGATTGTTTGGTTATCTCGTATGTAAATCTTTGCTAGAGTTGTGTGCCATCCAATCCTCCATACGACTTGTGCTTGCTGACTTTAGGTCGCATGAGCAAGTTGCCGTTTTAGCAGAAATCTTAAAGGTACAAAATTTGCAACTTGAAATTTCAAGAGGTCTACAATGTGGAGCTTGCATGGTTGATTGCAGCTAGTTGGTTTTGCGGGTTGTGTAACTCGCATGCAGATAATATTGGTACTGGGTGACTTGTGGAATGCCACTTCAGATCATGTTGCACGATTGCACCAAACGGGTTTTATTTCCATTTTAGGGCTCTTTGATAAGTATCTTGAATGCTACACCTCTCCCTCTCTCTCTCAAAATACTCCCAAGACCTATTGCAATCACTATGGCTCTTCATTTTTAAAGCTTGTAAGCATCAATCAATATAGTGGATCAGCTCTCAGCGGACCCCCCCCCCCTTGTGTTTTTTCTCGATTTGGGTTTTCCACATAAAAATCCTGGTCACTCTCTATCTCTCTTTACTCATTGCATTCATTACGAGTTAGTATTAAGTTATTCCTGTACATTGCTTATATTACCCTTGATCATCACAATCCACTTCCGCATTTATTCAATGTTGGATGAGTTGTTTGGATTGATTTACTGGCTGTTGACTTTTAGTTGGACTTTTTATAGGGAGTCAAATTAGTGTCATAGATTTAACAACAATCTATGAGTGCTCTATCACTCTTGATAGAAGAGGAAACTTATACAGGAAAACGGTTGTATGCTTAGGAGAAGCTGCAAAACCATTGCTTGAGATGGTTTTTGTCATCTCATAAGTAAACCTTCAAATGCACTTGCTGGAAGAGGAGACTCATGTTGGGGTGGTCATTGAGGTGGAGGTTGGACGATATGACATGGGGGAGGTAGTGAAAGAAATTCGAATGAGTGGAACATACCAAAGGAATTGGCTTCAGGTAAAGGTGTGTGGAAGGACACCTTTCATGTCCTCGGAACCCTTTTGGCTTTTTTATTTGGGGGGTGGGGGAGGGGGGGATTCACCTCTTTATGCTTTCTCTGGGTTCCATCACTCGATATCTTTTCAAGTTCCCTTATAGCCTACCCCAGCTAGTGTGGAACAGAATGCTTGTGTGAAATCTTAAAATTTTGTACTCCCCTGTAAAATTTAAGGGACGACTTAATTATCTTTTCAGTTTATTCTTTCATTCCATTGGTTGTTGTGACAGATAACCAACACAGATTTTGTGAGTAAATTTACCAATTCCAGTCAGAGTTACCTGCTTGTGCTGCAAATTGCTGGCTCTAAGTCAAATAAAATAGTATGGGTTTGAAATTTCCTACATGCTTTTTCATGTCATTTGACCTGTGGATGGCCAATCAAAGTTGGGCAATGTATGTTTCAACATCAATGATTATCATCCGTATATGTTCATAAGTTTGTACCTTGCTGTTGAATGTAGGATTAGTCCCTTTCTTACCATAAATTGGGAAAAGATATATGTTTTTAGGTTGCTGGAACTCCCCTCTTGTGCTTCACTTATCAATCATATGAATAAACTTAATGTGGCTCCCAACAGCATTTACATGTTTATAAATAACAGATATAAATTCACTACAGGCAGAAGCAATCCATTCAACAAGTTGGTGCCCTGTTCATACTTATCTTAGCGGCTGTTCTTTTAAGTATTGGGGAAGGCTCGAGAAAAGATTATGGAAGTGATAACCCTGATAAGATTGTTCTCTATGGAATTGTTCCGGTCTTGATAGCTTCTGTACTTTCAGGTCTTGCCTCTGCCTTGTGTCAATGGGCATCTCAGGTTTGTTGAAGATTCCTTTCTTTTGGAGTCCTATACTTGCTCCATTGTGGTAAAAGAATACATTTCCAACAAGCTGATATTTCGATATGAGTGTTGATAATCTTTAGTAATTGAGGGAAAAATTGACAACTAGATCTTTGTGACAATCTATATTATAACTTATTACTCAAGATACATATAACTTCTTAAAGCTCCGTGTTTAAATATAGGAAAAAAGTTGAGTCCTACTCATGGCAGAATACTCAATAATTTTCAGATTTTTGTAATGATGAATCGCATTAAATTTTTTATCCTCGGTTTACAATAGAATTTTACATCCCGTTGCATCACACAAGTACACAACTAGTACTACAAAATAGATCAATGATGTTGAGTATGGTAAAATATCCATATCATTTTCAAATCTGAGAGATGCCTCATCGTCATATGTAAAAAATGTATCTCTTAACCCAGAACAAATGTAGTTATCGACCATATATAACATATCAAATATTTCATGTTCTAGGTTAAGAAACACTCATCATATTTGATGACGGTAGAAATGTCAATAGTTGGGAGCCTTTGCTTGCTGGCAAGTACTTCCAAGTCTCCAGATGGCCAAGCAATGAGACAGCATGGGTTCTTCTATGGGTGGACACCACTTACAGCGGTAATTATCTTTGATTGTTTTTCATTGTTTTGGGAATTTAAATGCCTGCCATACTACTAGGTGGTTATTGCTGTTGTGAATATGAGCACATGAAGTAGATTTATTATTGAACTTAGGGCTGTTGACCCGGTCTGAAACAGACCAAATTGGAACCAGAAAAGTTCAAAATAACAAAATTGAAAACCAGACCGACTTGAACCAGTTCGCCCCCAAAACCAAATACAAACTTGGGTCTTTCTAAAATTACAAACTGAATCAAGAAGCAGTTTCAAAAATATCTAAAACCAAGAATCGGACCAAATATAGTTGATCCTTTCCTGGTTCTGCCTTTATCTCTTTCGCACACTTTTCACAAGCCTGGGGTTTTCACAGAAACAGTCGCTATATACTTCGGGGATAGAGGTCAGATTTGCTTACATCTTAACCCCCCCTCCTCCCCTCCGGACCCACCCCACCTCCGGGTGACGGTGAGATATACTGGGCTCGCTTGGTTTAATTGGACTGGCATGCATGCAAACTAATTGGGGTTGTTAATGTTCATCTGATCTTGTTGAGAAATTATTCATTATGATCTTTATCATGCTTTAGTTCACTTGTACACATCATCCAAGAACTTTCTTTTGGCTTCAGCTAGAATTTGTGGGTTCCTTACTTCTCTTTTCTTTCTTTTGATTCAGATCCCTGTTGTGATCAATGCTGTTGGCGGGATTCTTGTGGGTCTGGTGACATCATATGCTGGTGGCGTACGAAAGGCAAGTTCGATTTGCCCTCACATATGCATTAACAAAGATTTGGTTCCGAAATCCGTTAGAAGTTTAGTTCAAACCAATAGATTGTTTGTCACCTTTGAACAAAAGCAAATAACAAAAAACAACAAAATCTAAGCCTATGCAGGTGGCAAATTTGTGTAGATTGACCAAAATTTCATTTTTTTTTTCTCTCCTGTTGCCAAGATACTTCCAACAATCTTTCAAGTGCAATTTGTTTCCAAAGATATGTACTTCTAACTTGAGCACATAAAACCACAACGTACTTTCTCTTCAGGATTTCCGCTTTTTTTCTTTGTGGTTTCTATCGGTATCTGTTATGACCACTTTGAAGTAGATCATAAGATCCATGTTTGAAAAGTATTGTAGCTGAGCAAGTAGATCTAACGGTATCTTTTTCTTGAGACCTTTTTACAAGCCTGTCTTCACGGAAACAACCTCTCTACTCCTTGGGGTGGTGGTAAGGTCTGCAAACGTTGTAGGATCTACTGAGTTCATTTGGTTTGGTTTAAGACGCTGCTTCACTATATCCATCGTTCCACGCACTTCCATAAATATTGCAATGTTTTACTCTGAACATAGTTTAATTGAATTGTTTGTGCATTCATCAAATGTGGTAAATACCCTTTGTCACAATAGGCTAATACATGGACCAAAAGCGATGGCATGAAAAACTGCTATTGTAGCTTTACATTTTGTCAAATTGCATCACGGAAATAACCGCTTTATTCTATGGGGTAGACGTCAGGTCTGCTACATCTCACCCCCGGGCCCTACTTTCGAGTAGAATTTACTGGGTCAGTCTGGTTCTGATTTGGTATTTTGCCAAATGTTTTCTAATTTTTCCATGGCATCATTTCTAGGCATCCTTCTTAAGTTTCTAATAACATTTCTTTGCCTCCTTTTCGGTCACAAACACATGCAGGGGTTCGTCATTGTCTCCGCCCTCCTGGTTACCGCCTTGTTGCAATTTGTGTTCGATGGAAAACCACCTTCGTTGTTCTGTCTCTTGGCCCTTCCGCTCGTGATGACCAGCATTTCAATATATCAAAAGTACCCGTATCGCGTCAAAAAGAAAGAAGCGTAGACTACAGTAGTCTCGAAACAGATGAGGCGGAGTACATTTTCCCTAACCAGGTATCACTGCATCTTCTGTCGTTCGTAATAGCCAAGTTTCTTGATCACTCTACAATCGCTTACACTTTCTGATTTACAGTTCATGTTATTTTCGATCTTTTTCATATTCTTTTAACTGTCGAATCGCATTATTTCTCGACATGTATAATATGTCGTCGAATTAACCCAGAAACCATACTGAATACTTGCATATGTGATTGTTTGTCTAACCATTACTTGTATTGATCTAAAACAAAAAAACTAGTCATTGTCCATTTGGTCGTATCCGAATCTACTAAAACGAACCAGGGGTCTTCACGAGAAGTCACTCTTATCGGCCATAGACCCTGCTTTTACGTGAGATACTTTGTACGCTTATAATTTGATACCGGTCGTTAAATAAGATGTAGAGTGAATTATGTTTCACGTCCCTGTGGTTTGGTGTTTTAACGGATTCCCCTTCTACTTCGAAAAATTAACGGAACGCGTCCTCATGGTTGAAATTGTTTAACTAGCTGGTCGTGTGATTGTATTTTTTTTTAACGAGCTAGGTGCCTGCCTATTAATTCATGATTTATGGACGGATTTCACGTTTTTCATTTACCTATTATTAATACCATGCGTTGCAGGGTGATAATAATCTTTTTTAGAATTATTGAAGTTAGCTAAATGGATCGATGATCACATTTATATATTAAATTAATACGAATCAATATTACTATTACCTTTGATATATGAATCCACCCTATCATTATTGGATGTTCTTTTAATATTATATATATATATATATATATATATATATATATATATATATATATATATATATATATATGGTTGGGTTGGTTCACGTGAGACCAACCTGTTTTCGTGAGACAAGCTTTTTACATTTGAAACTTCACAGCAAAATGTTGTGAAGGTAATCTTCACAGTGTTTTTGCTGTGAAGTTTCAAGTGTAAAAATGTGGTCTCACGGGTCTCACGAAAACAGGTTGGTCTCACGTGATCCCAAGTATATATATATATATATATATACACATATTTATACTATATTATAAAGCATTTGACAAAAACTCTTAAAAATTATTTTTTATGCATAAAGTACTATTTATTTATGCATATTACTTAAAATTCAAAAGTACAAGTAAACTATGCATAAATACAACTTATTAAAGCTCTATGTTTGAATTCGTGTAACTAACTGCGGATAAACATAATCAAATAGAGGATAAATATCTTATTTTAAAATCTAAAATATAGTTAGGATAATTATTGAGTTTTAACATAATACTTAATTATTATCTTTATAAAAATATATTATTAAACCTAAATTAAGTTACTTCGTTACGTTAAATTAAATTATAATAAAAAATATGAATTAAAAAAAAAATCAAACAAGAACTTTTAAATAGTTAATTTGATATTAATATTGATATATTTTTTGTAAATTTTATATGATATTTTCAAATTTATATTTTATTAAAAAATATAAACATTATCATTTTTTTCAAAACCATATAAAAATCGTATTATATTGACATGGATAAAAAAAAACGAAACATTGAAATGGAATTGTATCTCGATGCATTGCACGATACCCTTCTAGTGTGTGTGTGTGTGTGTGTGTGTATATATATAGTTAAGTTGATAAGTCTTATATATCAATCTATTATAATATCAAATTTTGTAACTGGTTCAAAATTATCAAAAAAAATATATGTGAATATTAATTATAATCATATGAGTTGTATTATGAGAATTGTTGTCATAATACATATAAATTTGTCTCTTGCATATATTCTCATAACATATTTATGTTCATTAAGCAAACATTATGTTGTTACCTACTTCGATATAATTGTTGAATATTTTTGCAATTTGCTTACTAATATACCTATTTGCAATATTGGTCAAAAACCTCCTTGAAACCCATATTTTTCTACAGGCGAATGCACAAAGTAGAACAATAATAGCTAATATTGTGACCATTCTGGATACATAGGAGTCTGATTGACTTATTCAAGCTTTTTAGATTTGTTTTAGACAGTTTATAGTTTGGTTTATTTGTAAAAACTCCTGAAAAATGAGGTTTTAATAAAGTTATGTAAAATAAAAGATATGTATTATATTGATTCTAGTGTTAATTATATATAGAGTTTGATTTCAGCTTAAATAAAAAATTGATTTAATATATATATATATATATATATATATATATAATGTGTGTGTGTGTGTGTATGGATGTAGGGAAAGGTTCAAACGAGAACCCCTGTGATTTGCGGAAACGCGAGAACAATCTATTAACCTCATATTGTGATAACAATAAAAATTAAAAGATTTTTTAAAATAAAAATGAAATTAAAAACAATTCAAAAAATTTTGAGAGGCAAAAGGGTAATATTGGAATTCAAAGTGATAAAATTTTAAAAACACGATCACACTAAACTCAATAATCTGGATAACATAATGAGCTATTATGGTTATCGTTTATTTCAACACGATTTGATGTGATTTGGGTGTGATATGAGTGATTATCACACAATTATCACAAGGATTTCGTTCGGCTAGGGTTAACTTAGGAAATCGACTACTGATTTGGTGTGATATGAGTGTGATAATCATGTGATATCATTATCATAACAGCGCACTCGATTTGATCATGGTTTCGATCGGTTAGGGTTAGACAATCACACATTTATCACAACGATTACTCATGGTTTCAATAGGTTAGRATTAGACAATCACACATTTATCACAACGATTACTCATGGTTTCGATAGGTTAGGATTAGACAATCACACATTTATCACAACGATTACGGGCGAAATCCACTAAACGATTTGGTGTGATATGGGTATGATAATCATGTGATATCACCATTATAACATCACTTGCGCACTCAATTTGATTATGGTTTAGATCGGTTAGGGTTAGACAATCACACATTTATCATAACGATTACCCATGGTTTCGATAGGTTATGGTTACAATCGATTGATCATAGTTTCGATAGGTTATGGTTACACACTCACACAATTATCACAAAAGGAAGATAAGAGAGTGGAAACGAACGTGATCAATCCAGGAAAAAAAAGGATAATTATAATTAATTAAAATAAATAAAAATAATAAAAATTATTAAATGACATTACTGTCCTTATTAATTTATTTATATTTAATATAAGTTAATTTATTAATTAAAAAAATTTGAGGTTATGGAGTTGTTTTTGCGTTCTCGTAAATCACAGGTGTTCTCGTTTGAACCTCCACCTATATATGTATGTATCTATATATATAAATATATATACACACACACATATAAACTATAATTTACCTCTATCTTTTATACATGTTACTGTATTAATTGTAATAAGTTCTTAGTTATATATTGATTCTAATTTTAATTTTATATATTGATTGGCGTAATTTTCTATTACGCATTGATTATTATTATACTAGAAGGATACTCGTGCGATACATCGAGATGCATTTCGATCTCAATGTTTTGTTTTGTTTTTTATTTATGTCGATATAATTTTTCATAACAATAATAAGTAAGTATTCTGTTAGAACTCAATAATGATTATAATTATATTTTATATTTTTCATATTTAAAATGAGATTTTTATCTTGTATTTTATTATGTTTATATGCAGTTAGTTACACGAATTCAAACATGGAGCTTTAATAAGTAGGGGTGTAAACGATACGAGACAACTCGCGAGCTACTCGAGATCGACTCGGTCAAAGCT